CCCCCCTGCGAGGAGGCGCGACGCGACGCGGAGGCTGAGCCGAGTTGAGGGGCGCCGCGCGTCGCCCGGAAGTAGTGCTGCCGCTGCCTGTCTCCGGACTTCCTCCCGGTTCCGGCCCGGCTGCAGGCGGACTGCAGGACCCCCCTCGCCTCGGCCCGGAAGCGGCCATGTGAAGGGGCGAGGGCCGGGCCGGGCCGGCTGATGTGTTCATCAGCTGTAGAGGCACCGGGCGGGCCGCGCACCACACCGGGATGGGATGGCTTCATCCATCACGCAAAAAATCACCAACTCAGGAGCGAGACAGAGCTCTAAGTCCTCTCAGGTGCTGTCGGTTTGTGTGGACGCGCACTGCTCACGGCTGTTGCTGTTCCGTGTGTAATAATTTCACACATTGCCCACCCCTCTTTAACATAGATCAAATCAAGTACCACTCTGGCAATCAACGATAGTGTCACCGAATGCAATCGGAACTGGGGTGCGCACTGCCTAAGCCGCGACTTTGCACCCTTGGAGCTTGACTACACGAGGCAGCTTGGCCCAATTGGGGAAAGCACACGACGCCCAAAAGATACAGCGCACGCGCACAGTTGGCAACGTTTCTACCTCCATCCGTATGTGGCAAAGTTTTCCGAGCGAGCAACCTCATGGGCCACGTCAGTCAACGGCAGCTGCGCGCCTGCAACGTGTTGCGTAGGCAACCCGACAAGCAGCTCTGTGATGTCGGCGGCCCGCCCTCCGAGCGCCGTTGCTGGGCGGCTGGGCGTCTACTATCTCCGTGCTGCATTCATACGTCCCAACACTCAACAAGAATTCACTTGCTGAGTACATACTAGGAGAGTGTTTAACCCAACACTTTTGTGGTTATACTCGGGCTCGCCTCTCGCTCCTGCACACGGCGCCTTGATCATCCAGAAAGTACGCCCCGCATTCGCGTTGCGGACCTGCCAAGTTCAGCCCTAGCGCCTGCTAGGTAGGCAACATGTCGTCTGCATTGCATGCGTGTACTGCGGTGTAGCCTACCCCGAGTCTCGCAGGCGCCGCACTGCCGGGCTCGGCCCGTATTTTGCCGAATGAATCCGCGATAAAAACGGACGTAATTTCTGGACGGTCCCTTACGG